CCGGGGCTGGGCGCCAGTTCTTTCCGTTTCCGACGTGCGCTGTCTGTGCAGCCGGTGTATGTGCGGCAATAACATGTCTGCTCCGCTTTCCGCCATCGTGCCCGCCGCCCCGAAGGCCACCGCAGCGGTGAGTGGCAGCGGCCGGGGCTCCGAGGGGCCCGCTCGGCCCGCCGTCGGCTACTTTCCCTCGCGCAGGGTCGGCATCCTGGCAGGTTGGCGGCCGGTTAATTGGGGACGCTCGGTCCTGCCTGGCGTGATCTGGAGTGGGGGTGGCCCTCGCGGCCCCGGCCCCAGCTGTGTGTGAGGATGCTGAGTTGCGGAGGTGGCCCGAGGATCAGTCTCCACCACCTCCATCCCATTTCCAAGCTTGCGTCCTCTGCATTGCGGAGCGAGTGCTGCCCGCGGAACTCCGGGACCTCCGGCGGTCCGGCTTGGAGGGGCCGGCGTTAGTGGAAAGGTGCCCTAACTCAGGGTCGCTTTACAGCATGTTTCTGATTTGTTTGTACATGTGGGAAGTCTTAAGTACGCAAGAAAATGACCATTTTCTTACCTCACACTCTTGTCCTTATAGTTTGTAGATTCAGAGTCTTATAATATCGGAAGTGATGTTTTTAGGAAATTGTATAAGGATCTCAAACTTATTTTTACCCCCAGAAGGTCCTTCTTGTGATGGAAAAGTTCTACAGTATATGTAAGACTTTCATGGTTTGACTTAAGACAAGTTTTCCTTAGAATGTGATTGTTAGCACTTAAGAATATCTAAGTGGGACCTTTTTAAATGCTGAAACTCCACCTTAATCATCTTACGAACTACAAGGAGAGAAGTTAAGTACTTTTGCCATTTGAGAGAAATCTATAGAGACTAGTTAACTTGCTGAAGGTAGTCTTTCTGGTATCCAGCTTAACTAAAGCTCCAGTGTATAACAATTCTGTGTGGGCTTATGTAGGCATTGCTTATTAATTTTTCCTCTTCTCCTCTAGGTGATTTTCCTTCATGGACTGGGAGATACAGGGTAGGTACAACTATTAGTAACAGTAATGAAATGGGTCATGCAACTGTACTTATGCAATCAAAGCTTTAGTATTTAATAACTCTAGGATTGTATAAAAAAGATTGCTAGTTGTATTTCATACAGTCCAGTAGTAAGATGCAATCTTTTCTTTTTTGAAAACTCCCAGAATTTTCCCCTCATCATCTTGAATTTGTCATTTTTCAACTCCTGTTCCTGGAACATATTATAATTGCAGACTTCTCCATGAGTTGCTGTGGGTATTGGATAGCAGAGTACAGTGGAATGTTAGTAGAAACTGTGCAATTGAGGTTTCCGGAGGAGTTAAAATTTCAGGGCGGGTTTAGAAATGGTTGATTTTGATAAGAGAAACAATAGCGGTTTGTAGTATACAGCATTCTCAATGAGAGCTTAGATGTTCCTTTAAAATCAGTTGATGGGCAAGGGAGGCAACTCAAAAGATTTATTTGGAGGCTTATCAAACAAGTTTTGTTGTGCTAACTTTAGATATATGGTTTATCTTTCACTCAGGCTTCTACATTGAGAGGTTTTTTTTAATTTAAATCGGTGATTTATCTGTAACTTAGAATTGTTCTTACAAAATTTTAGAATTGGAGGAAAACTGAAGATAAATTTTGATAAAGTATCCAAAAACTGTTCAATCTTTATAAGGAGGTATTGGGTTTGAATAATTATTTTTATTTTAATTTTTAAAGGTGATTCCTAACATGCCTATTAAGTAGAAATCTATGATGCATACTTTGTATGTAGTTACAGAAAAGATTGTAGGACTCTTTTTCTGGCAATCAGTAGTCCTATTAAAATAATAGGTTTATTACTAAACAATAGGTTTTTTACTAAACAATAGCTTTTATTATGATTATGAAAATGTTACATTTGTATTGTAAAAAAATTCAAAATGCAAATATGCTTGAGAAGAGAATGAAAATCAGTTGAAGTACAACAACCCAGATATACATGTTCATTTTTGATAGCATTTAAAAAAATGTTTTATTTTGAAATGTTTTTAAATTTATGCAAGAGTTGGCAAGAATGATACAAATTCCTCAACACCTTTTACCTAGATTTACTAATCTCTATTGAATGTTACCGTGTTTGCTGAACCCTTTGAGAGTAAATTGCAGATGTGATTATTTCCAAACACTTTAGCATGTATCTCCTAAGAGCAGGGAGAGCCTCTTACGTAACCACAGATCATTATCAAATTTGGGAAATTTAGCACTTATTTAATATTAGCATCTAATATGCTCCATATTCAGGTTTTGACGGTTGTCCCAGTAATGGCCTATATAGCAGCAGTCTCCAACGTTTTTGGCACCAGTGATCGATGCTCCTGTGAGAATCGTAATGCTTGATGATCTGAGGTGGAGCTGAGGTGGTGATGCTAGCTAGCTCTGTGGAGCGGCCGCAAATACAGATGAAGCCTCACTTGCTGGCTGCCACTCACCTCCTTCTGTGCAGCCTGGTTCCTAACAGGCCTCGGAGCAGTATCAGTCCACGGGCCCGGGGATGGGGACCCCTGCTCTACTCCAGTCTTCCCCCGAATCCAGTTCCATTCCATTGCATTTACCTCTTCAGTCTCTCAGTCAGTTCTTCAGCTCTTTGTCTTTTATGACACCTTTCAAAGCAATCCCTCAGCTTAGGTTTGACATTTCCTCCTGATTGGATTTAGTTTGTGCTTTTTTGGTTCAACTGCCAAATAGGTGGTATGTCCCATAATAAATAACTGCAAACTAGATGGCTTAAAACAACTGAAATTTATTCTCATAGTTCCAGAGGCTAGAAGTCCAAAATCAAGGCATCAGAAAAGCTACATACACTCCCTCCGAAGGTTCTAAGGGAGAATCCTTTGCCTCTTAGTTTGCGATGACATCTGTTGTTCCTTGGCTCTTAGCAGCATATTTCCAATCTCTGTCTCTCTCTCTCTTTACATGACCTTTTCTGCTGTTTGTGTTCTCTTTATTCAGCCCACCCTAATCCAGTACAATCTCATTTTAATCCTTAACAAATTAGATTTGCAAAGAGCCTGTTTTCAAATAAGGTTACATTCTGAGGTTACAGGTGGACATGAATTTTGGGGGGTTACTATTCAACCAACTACACCAAGGTTATTCTCACTGCTTTTTGTGGTCTTGTGGTTTCTCACTTTTGCTTCTTTCTATATTTGCAGTCTTCTCTGCTAACACTTTTTTTTACAGTCTTTTTTCCTTATAGTGTCTTTGGCTTTGGTATCAGGGTAATGCTGGCTTCATAGAATGAGTTAGAAAGTGTTCCTTCCTCTCAGCTTTTGGAAAAGTTAGAGAAGTATTAGTTCTTTAGATGTTTGGTAGAATTCACCAGTGAAGCCATCAGGTCCCTTTTCTTTTTGGGGAGATTTTGATTACTGTTTCAACTTCCTTACTAGTTATAGGTCTATTCAGATTTTGTATTTCTTCCTTACTTAGTCTCAGTAGGTTTTGTATTTAAAAGAGTTTGTCCATTTCATCTAGGTTATCCAATCTATTGTATACAGTTGTTCATAGTACTCTCTTATTTTATAATTCTTGTTCTTTCTGCAGAACCAGTAAAAATGTCCCCACTTTTATTAGTGATTATTTTAGTAATTTGAGTCTTCTCTTTTTTCTTTGTCTGTCTCGTTAAAAGTTTGTCAGTTTTGTTGTCATTGATTTTCTCTGTTGTTTTTCTGTTCTCTACTTCTTGTGTCTCTGCCCTAATCTCTGTTATTTCCTTCCTTTTGCTAGCTTTGGTTTTAGGTTTTTCTTCTTTTTTTACTTCATTAAGTTGTAATTTTTAAGTTATTGATTTGAGATCTTTCTTGTTTTATAACATAAACATTTATAGCTATGAATTTCCCCCTTAGCACAACTTTCACTCTGTCCCATATGTTTTGGTATGTTGTGCTTTCATTTTCATTCATCTCTAAATATTTTCTAATTTCCCTTGTGATTTCTTCTTTTACCCTTTGGTGGTTTAAAAGTGTGTTTTTAGGGGTAAATATCCAAAATATAAAGAATTCATACAACTCAGTAGCAAAAATAATAATAATAATTCAATTAAAAAATGGGCAGAGGAACCGAATAGACATTTTTCCAAAGACATACAAATGGACAACAGGTGCATAAAAAGGTGTTCAACATCACTAATCATGAGGGAAATGCAAGTCAAAATCATGATGAGGTGTCACCTCATACCTGTCAGAATGGCTATTATAAAAAAAGATTAAAGTGTTGGTGAGGATGTGGCAAAAAGGGAACCCTTGTGCACTCTTGGTGGGAATGTGCGTTGGTGCAGCCACTATGGAAAACAGTTATGGAGGTTCTTCAAAAAATTAAAAATAGAAGTACCATATGATTCAGCTGTGCCAATTCTGGGTGTATATCCAAAGGAAATGAAATCAGTATCTGAAAGAGATATCTACAACCCCCCTCCCACCCCCCAGGTTTATTGCAGTGTTATTTAACAATAACCAAGACATGAAAAACACCTAATTGTCTTATCAATTTGGTGTTTATAAAGAAAATGTGATTCATGCATGTGCGTGCACCCATACACAATGGAATATTTAGCCATAAATAGAAGGAAATCCTGCCATTTGCAGTAACATGGATGGACCTTGAAGGCATCATGCTAAATGAAATGAGTCAGAGAAACACAAATATATGATCTCATATGTGGAATCTAAGAAGAAAGAAAAAAAACAAACAGATACAGAAAACAGATAAGTGGTTGCCAGGGGTGAGGGGTGGGGAGTTGGGGAATGGGGAGGCAAGGGAGTGGGTGAAATGGGAGAAGGTGGTCAAAAGGTACAAACTTCCAGTTAGAAGATAAATAAGTCCTGGGTTATAATGTACAGCATGTTGACTACAGTTAATAATACTGTGTTGTATATATATGAAAGTTGTTAAGTGAATTGTAAAAGTTCTCATTAAAAAGTGTTGTAACTCTGGTGATGGATGTTAACTTATTGAGGTAATTTTGCAATATATACATATATAAAATCATTAAGTTGTACACCTAAAACTAATACAATATTATGTCAGTTATATCTTAATAAGAAAAAGAAACACAATGAGATACCACTTTACTCCTACTAGGATGTCTGCAATCAAAAAGAAATTATAAAAAGTGTTGACAAACATATGGAGAAATTGGAACCTGCACACACTTTAATAAAACTGTTAAATAGAAAACAAAACACAAAAATAAAAGTGTTTTTAGTTTACACAATTTTGTGAATTTTCAGTTTTACTTTTGTATTGGTTTCTAACTTTATCCTGTATGGTCTGAGAAGATACTTTGTATGATATCTATCTTTTAATATCTGTTGAGACTTAATTTGTGGCCTAACTTAGGGTCTGTCCTGGAAAATGTCCTGTGTGGACTTGAGAAGAATTTGTATGCTGCTATTGTTGGGTAGAGTGCTCTGCATATGTTTGTTATACCTAGTTGGTTTATTGTGTTGTTAAAGTCCTCCATTTCCTACTCTCTGGGGCTTCTACCTATTAATTGAGAGCGGGGTATTAAAAGTCTGACGATTTTTGTAGAGCTGTCTGCTTCTCCTTTTAGTTGTTTGAGGTTTTGCTTCATGTATTTTGATGGTCTGTCATTATGCGCATAAATGTTTATAGTTGATAGGTCTTACTGTGTTTAACCTTTTATTAATATATAATGTCCTCCTTTATCTCTTTTTGATTGAAAGTCTATTTCATCTGATGTTAGTATTACCACCCTTGCTCTCTTTTGGTTACTGTTTCATTCATTCACTTTCAACTTCTTTGTGTCTTTTGATCTCAAATGAGTCTCTTGTTCACAGCATATAGTTAAATCATGCCAACTAAAATGTCTAGTGAAAGAAGAATATTTGGTAAATTAGAATTTCAGCCATTTACATGCGAAAAGGTATATTCTAAAACTATAGATACAGCATATTGTCATAAAAATAGAAGTGAATATCCAGTGAAATGTTGACTTTTTTTTGTGAT